GAGCCGATACAAATAATAAGTGCGAAAGAAAAAGTAATTGCTATTGTAGCACTACTAGTTTTTGTATATACTTGAACTAGATGGTGACCACAGAGGAAAGAATCATTACCATTACCACATTAACCTCATTGTTTACCCATGACTCACCCCATTCACCGTTAATCGTTTTCTCTAATAGTTGGTCATCGCACAAGCTTCAGTTACCAAGAAAAGCTAATAAGAACAGACTAACTGACAGGAAAACATTACGTAGGGTTCGCAACATTACGTAGGGTTCGAAATGAGACAACATAATTGAACATTTTTTTCCACTTTCCATTCGTTGTACCAACAAAAATTTATTTAAATTTTGTTATTTCAATGTGTGTATGCATACAATCGATCGAGTCGCAAGACACCCTTGAGGTAATATATAAAGTCAAATACTGATGAATGAGATAAATCAGATTCTGTTGATTGAAGTTATTTTTATAGTCGTACCTCAGGTGTGACTTGCGAACTGATCGACTGCGCTCGCGCGTCAAGGATAGATGGGGCAGCGAGTCGATGGGGCACTGAAGAGAATAGGCGGGATGGGGTAGGGCTTGGCTGAGTGGGGCTCGAGAGGGTGGAGGGAGGGGCGGGGGATGCAGGGCTGGCTGTTAACTGCGCAGTCTGGAGAGGGGTGTTCGAGGTGTGGGGCGATAGGGATGTGCGGATTCGTTTTGCGGATTGGAGCAGTGAGTTGGACAGGACAGGACAGGGGCGGGGCGAAGCTTTGGGACTGAGGCTGGGCGGGGGCGGGGCTAGGTGGGGCTGGGTGCTTTGGCGGGGGGGATGGTGCAGATTTGCCGCGGTGATGTTAGGCCGTTGTTATGTTCGGAGAGAAAACACGGGTGCGGATAAGCGATAGGTGAGCTCATGGGGCTGCAACTGGCGGCCACAGATATTTGCGATAGTATCCACTACGACATAAATAAAATTAGATTATAGGAGATTTGTAATCTTTTTGCATGTTAATGAGCATATTTCTGAAGTTAAAGAGGTGCCAAAGTAATATCAGGAGAGGTTACTAGGGTCAGGAGTCAAATCGAGAGGCATGGCACTAAAGTAGCGATAGATAGAGAAAGGAGACGTCATATTATATGAAGGACACGTTTTTCATACAGTAGAGACAAGCGTTATTATGGCGCTGGAGACAAATTACGGATGGTACTGGTGGCGAAAAGTATATGGGTTATAGACCTTTGTAAGCCAAGCTAAATTAGTGTGACAGTAGATTTCACAGAGTTTGCATGTCAATTGTCCTTGGGAAATGATTGAGCACTCAATAAGTATTGTGTGAGTACGGTTGGGAATTGGAAGGGAGAACGATCATGACGGCTTTTCTTTATTTATTCTATTTAGGTGTTCGTAGGCTCCAACATTCGCAGTTGTCCCATGGCTCCTGTGGCTAAAAACGTGACCGGGGCCGGGGGCGGGCGTGGTGGGCACTAGAGCTGGGCGCTGGGTGGGTGTGGGCGTGGCCGTGGCGGTGGTGGTGGAGGCTGGGCGTAGCGCGCATGACAGCGCACGCCGCCTGCGAGCGTCCGCGCACGACGGGGTGGCGGGCGGGCGGGCGCTGCGCAGTTCGAGGACGCCGTTCGATGCGCACGCACGCGCCCGCAGCCGCATGTGCTGAGCACGGAGGGCGCTCGTATCCCGCATCCACGGGGCGTGGATCAGCGCGGTGGCGCCGTGGCCGACTGCCTAAACGCGTGCGAGGAGGCGCACGGCCGGGACGGACGAGTGGACGACATGCGCGCGGCGTGGGGCGCGTGTGCGCGGCGTGAGCGCTTCATGAAGAAGGAGCAGGTGCCGTGATGCGGCGACGGCACGCGATCAGTGCACTTCGTGGCAGGTTTGTGCTGTTTGGTTGTTGCTTCTACACGCGCTGAGGTTTTCGGCATCGGTGAGCTGCCGCAGTCATTCTTTTTAGAGTGGGGGGCTGTCGCAACTGCGCGGTCCGGGCCATC